CCACAAAGATGAATACATCACTTCTCAAAGTCACCTATTGTTGACTTTTATTTAAAGAAAATTTACAGGAATTATAGCTTACATTTTTTGAGTTAAAAGTATTTATTTCCACTGGATAAAATGTGATGTTATTTTATTTAGTGCAAGTCTTTTAAAATCACTGCACAGCAATAGGCTAGATTTAGACGGCAGTATGATAAATGGAAGAGCCTGACGCAAATCTATAAATATTTAAAAATATTGTAAAATCTATGTTGTGGAAGAAAATGTATGTACAGGATGTGAGCTATCAATTAATCTATGAATCATTACATACTTAATATTAAAATAAACATTGAAATAAAGAATCCTCTTGTTCTCGCCATGCCAATTAAATTTGTTAAATGAGTTAATTAACAATATTGAGGTTAAGCAATACTATCACATAAGTTCATGGGTATCGTGATTCGCTCTGCATTTCCTTTCTAGAAAAATATTTTCGAATTGCTAACTGCAACGTAAGAAAATAGGTTCGTTACCGCGTGGTCGGCGGAGTAGGGATTCATTTGAATTTCAAATAGTTTGCAGCCGCTTGACAACGCAGCTCTGTAATGCTGCTGCAGCAAGATAGAAACGAATAAATTCAATTTTATTTAAAAATTTCTACTTGTAACTTGTATTAACATCTAGAAGTCAGAATTATTAGATTGGGATCTTACTGTAGTTTAATTTCGAGATAGTAAGTGCAATTGAATATAGAAATATTTCCGCCTTATCATGTTATCTTTTTTTCTCGGAACGAAGATTGATAACTTAAGACTTATTAAAATAGTATTATAATGTAACAAAATTATTCTATCCTCTTGATATTATAAATGGGAAAGTTTAGATAGATCGATGGATGGATGGATTTGTTTGAAGCTATCTCCAGAACGGCTGAACGGATCGCAATGAAATTTGGTATACATATAGAACACGGAAGAACACGTAGGCTGCTAATCATGTTTAATTTTTTAAATTCCGAGCGGACGGAGTCGCAGGCGACCGCTAGTTATCAATAAAGAGTTTTAGTAGCAGTTTAACGGATATTATAAAAAAAAAGTTTTACACATAGCTACCGTTTTTATTATATTCATGAGGACACCAAGAAAACGTAGAAACCTTTATGAATTCATAATAAGAGTTGTTGAGTAAAGCTTAAGTAAATGTAAGTAGGCGTATGAACTCTCTACATGCGTAGTAAATTCATAAATTAAATTTATCAGACGAACGGTCACGTACAAGTCTTCGAGAGTTATGTCTCATGATTCATTCAAGTTTATATTTCAATGTGATTTTATAAAATACACTTATTAGGTAGGAAAAAAATATTATGTATTTTTACTCACAAAGTAGGACAAAATAGGAACTCAGGATTTTGATCTTTATAAATACACCAGCTGTTGCCCGCACCTCCATCCGCGCGGAATTAATAAAAAAAAAACTTAAGTAGTAGCCTGTCTTCTTTCAGGCTATGTTCTACGTCTAAGCTAAATTTGCTCGTAAAGCGTGGTCGTGGCAGCCGTTTTGGAGATACCTTCAAACATAGAGATATTTTGTAATTAAACGAATCAAACAAATCCAGTGCTATACTTACTTTAAATTAAATTTATAGAGTTTGAAGTCTTTGAATAAACAGATTGATTTGTTCACGATGAGTAACTCATCCTCTTTACTAAAGTTGTCGCTTCAATCAGGCACGAAACAGATCATCTGAATATTTTAGATATGTTTGAGCCGATGTCGGAATACGAATTATGAATTCTGTCTTTGAAGTCAAAGTAACATTTCCGCAGTTTATAAATTTAGCGTGACATATATATAAATAATTCAGATATTTTACTATCTTTAGAAATTTACATATGTTTACTATATACAGTATGATATAAAATTATTTTATATTTGATATTAAGTAAACAAAGGGTGGTTAGGTATTTACGGATCCTTTTAATTCTCCAAAAAAAAAACGATTTTTTATCTCATCAAGTTAGACTAAAGATAATAATTTATAAGAAATCAATGGGCACAAAATCCACTATAGTATTAATAAAAAAATAGACAGTAAAATAGAGTAAAATTTTAGTTCTCCTTTTGGAGAAATAGATATTAAATCGTCCAAATACATAACACTTTGATGGCTTTCATCCTTTGGTAAGGAAGCGTTCACAATCGGATTATGATCTCGTTCCAATTCTATCAATTTCTTGGAGAAGATACTCTTGATTGAATCTTTGACAATGTCTGACTAAAGGCGTTTATTCTATTAGTCAAAGAGAGAAAAAATTGCCATAGCCCTATTGGTATTTTTGGTTCACAAAGGCACAAAGTATTGTCTAATTATTTGTTCAAGATTTTTTTTTTATATCATATGGTGGCAAACGAGCGACCGGCCACCTGAAATCGCTAAAATAGCGAAGTGACCGTTGCTCATAGACATACGCAATTGCATATGCGTTGCCTACCTTTAATCGACGAAGGAGAGGATGCACAGAAAGAAAATATTTTCCCTTCCCATGCATCCTCTCATCCGGAAAGTCCACTTCAACTTCCCATCCTTTCCTTATATGGAAAAGTGTGGGAAGGGAAAGAGGACTAATTTTGGCCTCCGGGACGCACACTCATCAGACGAAACGCGGAATTGCTTCCACTTCACGCCTGTCTTCTGTGTGGTCGTGGTATTTCACCGGGCGAGCCGGGCCGATTCGTGCGAAGATGTTAAAGCGGGCTCTACCACTGTTAAAAAGATGTGAATAAAAAAATTCTTTCGAAATATATTTAATTATTAAAATAAAGCTTTGATTAAATACGGGCTTACAATACTAGAAGCAGCTAAATCCTAGTTTAATCTGCCGTCAGGCGTTCCAATTTTAAGCTTATATGTCGCCCGGTGAAGCGAACAGATTTAATTAAGAATTTAAGTTTCAGGCATAAATGTTTGTTATCGAATTAAATTTTCAATAAATATTCATTTACGAAGATTTAGGTTGTACAGAACAACTGTAATTGATTTTAACTACGACCAATAAGTACACTTAAACCCTGTGAATGCTAAAAACATGCTGCCAATCGATCTAATTTTTTTTTTCTAATTAAAAAACATATTCAGGATTTTCCTTTAATGTAAATGAAATCAAAATTACTTACTTTACTACTTACGAATTATTCCTTCCTAATCTTAATACTATTATAAGTGGGAATGTTTGGATGGATGGATGTTTATAGAAGGGATGTCGCTGTTATTTAGCATAGATGTAGAACATAGTCTGGAGGAACACATAGGCTACTAATTAAACTTATTATAATACTACGTGGATGGAGCCGCGGGCGGGAGTTAGTTATAGAATTAAATGTTACAGCTTTCCCACATAAACGAAAAAATAATTAAACCGAAAAAAAATATCGTTAGATTTAATTCTCATTAAGCTTACGTGCGCAACTGTACTTGCTAATGACAATATACATTAAGGGACCATAATGTAAGGAAAAAAACTGCACCAAGGCGTAGCCTACAAGCGTCACCGCTTACGTATAATGAATTAAAGAACAGTCAACGGCAAAATGGCGTCAACGATGTCTTTATTATTCAAGTGAGGTCATGCTTTCTGTGCGGTAATGAAGCAAAACAGATCGATTTAAAAGAATTGCTTGAAGTTGAGGTTACTTTGCATATTTAAATATCTTTTAAAGCATTTACAGCGACATAATGTCCGTAACATTTTTCCTGTACATTATTGAAAATATATTTAAGGCTAGCTGTCCAAGAATAAAAAAAACTTAGTGAGTATCCTTTGTTTTAAATCTGTACCAAATTTCATCGAGATTCGTTTAGCCGCTCCGGAGATATCTTCCGGAGAAACAAACATCCATCCATCTAAACATTCGCATTTATATTGGTATGATAAGAGATAAGATAAGAAGACGTAAGATTAAAGTTAAAGTAAATTTAAGTAAGAGAGGAATATGTTAAATTAGGATGACGTAAGTTAAGGAGTCATTAAAGTTATACATATTTATATGATTTTCCAAGAACAAATAAAGACATGAGACCTTGTCTTAACGTAGAAGCTTTTGTGATAAAGTTTGGTTACAAGACCAAGATAATGTCTGGCAAAACCTGCAAAATCATTCCCCTATCGTTCGGTTTACAAGCTACCAATCTTATCAGACCTAATGATTAATGTCGCTTTTTCATTTAGATACTTGTACTATCAGAAAATATAGCTTACTTCTACTAGAAGTAAGCTATATTTTTTCCTTAAACTTAATAAGTTAATAAAATTACAATTATTACCATTTCTGTAGATAAATAAGTATTATTTCTAGGTTAAGTTAGTAACTTACTCTTGCTTATTCTTCTTAAAAAACTTACCTGAAACAAATGTAAATATTAGAATCATCTTAGACAATTTAAAAACATATATAATATTATAATACATAGCTTAATTAACTAATTTAAAGTTCGTCACAACATTTGAAGGTTGAAAGAACACTGGTAGATGTCTGCGGCAACATATTTTCCTTATTATACTTTTATTATAAGGGAAAATTTGGGAGGAGAAGTGGATTTGACAGAGAAGGAAGCAGGAAGCATAGGAAGGGGAAAAATACTGTTTCTGTGTGTTCTTTCTACATCTGTTCCACGCATTTACAATTGCAAATGTCTACGAGCAGCAGTTGTTTTGCGATTTCGAAAAATTCAGGAATTTGCTAGCTCGTTTGTCACCGTATAATATAAAAAAGTTTATTAATGTTTCGATAGAAGTATACGCTTAATAAGTAGTCATATAATTGTCAATCTGATCAACCTAAAGAAGTTGATAGTATAATAATATCGTAACATTCACAGCCTAAGTTTAATAACATTCATTTTATCACAATGATAATTTAAATTACATTCTATGATAATAAAAAATAATTTTTCACGTTACATCTTAAACAATGGCTTATAAAAAGAATTAAAACAGTGTGCGGTTCATTTCAATGTTTTGAAAGTAGTAGTAAAGGTTACTGTGTCGTATCGTGTCTTGGTGGAAAATGTACTTTTGTTCTAGTGTTAAACGTAAGTATGAAACTAATTAAATAAAAACTCGAATTCAAAACTAAGTAACTCTAATCTTACTGATGTTATAAATGCGAATGTTTGGATGGATAGATGAATGAATGTTTGAAGGTATATCCAGTTATGCTCAACGAATCATATTCTGGAAGAACACATAGGCTATTCTTTAAATTTTTTTATTGCGTCAGATAGCGTCGCGGGCGATAGCTAGTTTCTTATAAAGATCGAAAACTTATAGCATTTTTCTTATGTTTCATTGATGCTTTAGATTTATTAATTTAAATAATGTAATTAAAAAAAAATGAGTTTAAATATCTACTTACAGAATATTGACGTTGAGTAAATGTTGTTATGTTCCATTGCATAAAAATATTATTTAATCATCTTGAAACTATTCTTTACTATTTATGACAAAATTCTCGAAATAAATGTCGTGATTATCTTTTAAATAGCATAGAATTACTTCAAAGCTTTGATTATTAAAAAGTATCTTTATCCTACATTATTAAGATCCTTTCAAAGGATTTATACTTCAAAGCGACTCCAATTACGACTCAAAGAATTTTAAGAATACATAAAATTGTTAGAAAAAGAAACTGTTGTAAGTATTTTAAAAATCTTCGAATTCAAATATAATTTAATAGGTGGAAAAAGTAGTTACATATAAACTGTGTTACCCTAAAAGTATATTTAGACATTGTTTAGTTAAACACGTGTTTTAACATTTTGAACGCCGGTGAAGGATATGATGGACGTCAAAATGGTTATATGTTTCACCATAAATATGTATCACCATACTATCGGCATGATATGTCATTATTTATTGGTCAGTAACTCATTTCGCAAGCTCATAAATATATTTTCAATAGACATGATTTCTGAAAATCCGCGCCAGACGTATAAAAAGGTTGACATACCTTTAAGCTATTTGAAACATTGTCTATTTTTTTTTGTAAGGCCCAAAATATTTTTATTATTAAAATTATGAATATATTATTTGCAGTCAGAATAATAATAAACTTGATACTTGCATCAGGAGTATACTGTAGATATGAAAACGTCAACATAAGGACTGATTGGTGGGAAACGGCGTTATTCTACCAAATATATCCCAGATCATTTGTTGACAGTGATGGCGATGGGATAGGAGACATTAATGGTAAATAATCATCAAGTTTTGTGAATTTAAACTGATAAGAATAAGTTAAAGGTCATGATTAAAAAATGGATGAAGGAATATCAATTCTTAAAGCTAGAACAAAGAATTAAAACAATAAAGATAAGCAAAATTATACATTTACTTGTTACACAAAATATAAAAATCTCGTGTTACAATGTTAGTCTCCTCCGAAACGGCTTGACTGATTTTAGAGAATTGGCTACTATCTATTTTTCAAGAGCTAATTGTGCTATCAAATTCTTTGCAGGAATCATATCAAGAATGGACTATTTAAAAGACCTTGGCGTAGATGCAGCGTGGCTGTCACCGATATTTAAGTCTCCGATGTACGATTTTGGTTACGATATATCTGATTACTATTCCATTCAGCCCGAATACGGAACTTTAGAAGACTTTGAACAGCTTATTAAAAAAGCTAACACTCTAAGTAAGTAAAAATGTAATTTGCCACTTCATACACTATTTCCAAAACAATACGAATTAGGATCCTTCAAGAAGCGAGCATACCATTTCCTTAAAGGCCGGTAACGCATCTACAGTTCCTCTGGTAATGCGGATGTCCGAGGTGGATAACGACAACCATTAGTTGATTATCTCGGTGTTTCCGCCGTTAGTTTGCCCTCTTCTTTTATATAGAAAAAAAGAATTGTAAAATATTAGTTTAATATGGTCTTTAAGGTTGATGATCATATTTTTTACAGATATTAAAATTGTTCTGGACTTCGTTCCTAATCATACTAGTAATGAAAGTGACTGGTTCATGAAGTCATCGAACAAAGACGAGTATTATAGTGATTGGTATGTTTGGGAGAATGGTCACATAGATGCTGACGGTAGAAGACAGCCACCGAATAACTGGGTGAGGTGAAAGCGCCAATATTTTAGTTTTGGTTTAATCAAAAATAGTTAACAATAAAACAACTAGGGTTATAGTGATTTCTTACTTTTTAAGGTAAGCGTGTTTCGAAAAAGTGCTTGGACATATTCGAACACCAGAGATCAGTTCTACCTACATCAGTTCAGTCCTGCGGAGCCTGATTTAAATTATAGGAATCCCGTTGTAGCGGAAGAAATGAAGGTAAAGGAAGATATTTAATTTATGACGAAAATGGTCGATTTATTATTCTAATAATAATTTCCTTTTATCAACGGCGGAAGGAACGCACAGAAAGTGGATATTTCCCTTTCCTATTCGTTCCCTCTTCCACCATAATCACTTCCCCCTCCCTATCATTTCCTAATAAGAAAAGGTAGGTAGAGAATGTGGTCTAACATATCTGATCCATTCAAAAAAAGTCTAAAAGGCTATTTGCGAATTATAAGATAATTATCTGTTTTCAGAATATTGTCAAATATTGGTTGGAAAAGGGTGTCGCTGGAATGAGATTGGGTTCTGTTAATTATTTATTTGAAACCGATAAAGATACATTCGGTGGTCGATTCCCGGACGAGCCTAAAACCGGAAAGCCAGGAGCTGTTTCCGACGATTACGACTATCTGTTTCACATTTATACTAAAGACCAAGAAGAAACATTCGATATTGTGGCGCAATTCAGAGATGTTTTCGATGCTATGAGTGTAAGAAATAACTTTACAAGGTATTATATGATTTATATGTCAACTGATACTCTTAAGAGCCAAGAAACTTATTAAATTATTGTTGTTAAAATTATTATTATTAATTATTTTACTTTTAAATTGTTATTCAGAATAATGATGACAGTAGCAAGAAGCCCAATTAAAACAACGGCACGTTATTACGGAGATAATTATCACTCCGGAGCACACATTCCCGTAAACACTGTATTGATAGATGAAATGACATCGAAAGAATTGGATGCGAGAGATCTAAAACACGCTATAGATTTATGGATCACGTATATGCCACTGGGAAAATCAGCTAATTGGGTGGTAAGTGTGATAATATTAAATTCACCATGTCATTATTGATTCGTCACTACATATATTGCAAGGCGAAAGCCGGATTAGTGACATAAATCGGCAATAATATTAAGTCTACCTGTTATGTTAGTCTGAATATGCTTAAGTTTGCTTAATCACGAGAAATTTATTAGGAACAACAAGTGCATTATAGATTACACTTTTTGATATCAAATAATTTCAACAAAAAAAAAATCATAGCTATTCATTCCAGACAGGAGACCACGATACAAGCCGGTTAGCGACACGTTTCCGGCCAGAGTTGGTAGATGCATTTAATATGCTTGTTCTGTTGCTTCCTGGGGTAGCTTTCACGTACATGGTAAGTTTATTCACGTTGTCTTACTGTTTCTTCAATAAAGAATTTTATATATTTATTTGATATTATTTTAAATAAAACCTTTACATCTAATGAAAATCGAATTATTTTTCATCAAAGCACTAGAAATACTAAACGCAGTTGCTTACTGTGACTGAGATTCTACTGTCGGTGCACTTCTCCCTTTCATTTTCATCACCAATACAAGAGTCACGACAGTGAAAGTTCGTGGTAAATAACTACAATATCTGATACTTTGCTAATGCTTTGTATATTTTGGAGCTCAATTTTCTATAGGAATATAAAGATTTCTAAAGTCCTAATAAATTCAGTATTTGTCTAAACTTATGCTCGTTATTTTGTTGTGCAGGGTGAAGAGATAGGAATGATAAATGGATTTGTACCGTGGGTTGAAACGAAGGATCCGCAAGCTTGCAACACGAACGATCCGGTGAACTTTATTGATGTATCACGTGACCCGGTGCGGACTCCATTCCAGTGGAACAATGGAAAAAATGCAGGTAAATCATTTTCTATATCTATATACATAGATAATAAAATATCAACGTTTTATTAACACGAAAATATTTTGAGTTTATTGTTTATAAATAGAATTTATGAAAAGAATGGAATATTAGATTTTTTATATGCTTCTAGGATTTTCAAGTGCAGCCAAAACATGGTTACCCGTGGCAGACGGTTTCGAAAGTTTGAATTTAGAAAATCAACGAAATGCTGTGAGATCGCATTATCAAGTTTATAGAATACTAAGCAACCTACGCATTCGGCCCGCATTTCGCTTGGGCCGTTTTGAATCACTGGCTATCAACCAAGACGTTTTTGCTTTTAAAAGGTATTATTTTGATATTAGTATGTATATGGGTTTGTATTTTATTTTCTCTACTTAAGATTATTTGATTTTTTTATACGTATCTCCATTTCAGATGGTATAACGACGACACTTATGTAATTGTTATGAATTTGGGCAAATCTTATCAAATTGTTAATTTAACAGTGTTTGACTTAATTTTTGGTCAGCTGGAAGTCGAAGCAAGTAGCGTTCAGTCTTCGCGTTCCTACAGGTTGATATAAACGTTTTCTTATTTGTGTTTTATATCATCATCTTCTTGACCATAAGCCCTATGTGCTTGGGTCATTGGGATTTATAAACCTTATCTTTTGGTTGAGCTTAGGTGGCTCAGTGGTCAAGAACTTGACTTGCAATCTGCAGGTCCTGGGTTCGAATCCCGCTATGCCCGCCATTGATTTTCGATTTACACGTGTACATTTATCCGACGTTCTTACGGTGAAGGAAAACATCATGATGCAACATGCATATATCTGAGAAGAAATTCAAAGAATATGTGAAGTCAACCAACCCGCACTTGACCAGCGTGGTTGACTATGGCCTAATCACCCTTAACTTAGGGTAGGCTCCGACCCCATCGATGGGGACGTATAGTGAGCTGATGATGACCTTCTTTGTTATTTATTTTACGTACTAGATTATATTATACAAAGATTATAATTATGTTTCAGTGATAATGTTCTGGCAACATATTTGGATTTATCCGCTGACGAAGCTTTAGTACTACGGATGCAAGTTTAAATACTTCTTTCACATTAATAATGATAAGACATTATAGTCTTTTAATTACTAAGTTCTTGGCATTATTTTGGAATAAAGAATTATGTACTGCTCGATTTATTTTAATTATTACAAATGTAATTGTAAATTAATGGATTATTACATTTATTAAAAAGGACCACCAATTGCATGTTCAACAAGCACGAGCGTATACAAATAACATACAGACAACACAAACAGATGACAGACGTACACAGCATTGACTAGACAAGGTTTAGATATAAAGATTATGTCCAAAAATTTTATGACAATTAACTATGTGTCAAACTAAGATATAAAAGGGGCATGACAGACGGACGGACGGACAACAAAGTGATCCTATAAGTTCCGTTTTTTTCCTATGAGGTACGGAACCTTTAAAATAGCAAACTAATAGAAAAGCCAAAACCATATTATGTTATAAGGAAAGGATGGGAAGTGGAAGTGGATTTTCCGGATGAGGGGATAGATATCAAGGGAAAATATTCTCTTTCCGTGCAACCCCTCCTCTGTCAATCAAAGGTTGACAACGCATCTACTATTGCAGATGTCTATGGGCAACGGTCGCTTTGCTATTTCAGCGATTCTAGCTTGTTTGCCACCTTAAGATATATTAAAAAAAAACTGTTTTGTATCATTATGGTATCTTATACATAAAATTCTCGTCTCACAATTTTCGTTCCTATACTCCTCCGAAACAGCTTGACCGATTATCATGAAATTTTGTGAGCATATTGAGTAGGTCTGACAGTCGGCTACTATCTATTTTTTAATCCCGCGCAGACGGAGTCGCGGGCGACAGCTAGTATTTTATAATACTACAAGGTCAATCTTACCTCCTATACTCTCGATAAGTGGTAAACAAAACAATACAGATAATATTTTATCTATTCTAGCATTACCGACAATGTATACAGTTGTTGTGAAATCTTCACAATTTCTTTATCTATTATATGTATTAGCAAGTTGAACTTTCTGTTTGTTAGTTTGTATGTCGTTGATGATTGCTGTCATGAGCTTGTATTTTGTTCTGTTTCTTGTTTATATCTCTCCCTCAGCGGATTGGGCCAGTGTCAAATGTTTATGGTTCAGCTTGTATTGAATCGGAATAAAATTTAGGGAAATTGACATAGAAAATGTTTTTATGTTAGACAAATTAACGCAGCAGATAGATCTGATTAGATATTACAAAATTTAATTATTACCAACGCGTTAGTATTTCTTCGTATCAAATTTATAAAGATTATTATAGACTGAAATTAATTATATAATTGTCGTTTCAGTTTTTCATTATTTTCAAAAAGCAAGGTAACACTATCTAATTATATTTATAATTATATATCTAGTTGTTTTATTCAAGTTGTAGTACTATTTGCAACTATGAATTTGTTGTTAATGGAAAAGTTTTTATCAGGAACACAGGCTACCATCCATATTGATAATGGTGAATCAGTTCAAGTATCATTCATTTCCTGCGTTCTCCTTATAATTGTCTGAAACATTCTATCTTCGACTGTCCTGGCAGTGAACGAAATGAGGGCAATAATTATTTTGCCGCTTTTCATAATTCTCTCTAGTGGTAAAGTTATAAAACAGAATCAAGAAAAAGAACTAGAGTGGTGGGAAACGACTATTTTTTATCAAATATACCCACGATCATTTGCAGACAGTGATAATGATGGGATCGGTGATCTTAATGGTAAAGTATAAATTACGTAAAGAATTTAATTTTAACCAAGAATATCAATTAGCTAAGTTTTTAATATATTTATAGGTATTACTTCAAAATTAGAACACGTAAAAGAAATCGGTGCGGGAGCAATTTGGCTTTCTCCAATATTCCAATCACCGATGTACGATTTCGGTTACGACATAGCCGATTTCTACGCTATTCATGATGAGTACGGTACAATGGAAGATTTCGAAGCCTTACTTGAAAAAGCCAATGAATTAGGTAAGAAAAAAAAATATCTTATGTAAGCATTTTTAAAAATTTCTTTAATTTTTTATGTAAGTAATGTTATAAAAATCATATGCATTATTTCAGATTTAAAAGTAATATTAGATTTGGTACCAAATCACTCATCAAATGAAAGTGTGTGGTTCCAAGAAGCCCTCAAAGGTAACGAAAAATATTACAATTATTTTGTTTGGGAAGACGGTGTGATTGATGAAAATGGAAATATGCAACCACCAAATAATTGGGTAAAGTATAAAATATTTACAGTAGCTATGACTTATGTTTACACCCATGGAGTTGATATCATGGACGTTTACTTTATAGAAAAGTCAATTTCGAGGAAGCGCTTGGGAATATAGAGAAGAAGTTGAGAAATATTATTTGCACCAGTTTGTTATCGGGCAACCCGACTTGAACTATCGCAATCCAGATGTCGTTGACGAAATGAAGGTTTTATTTTTGTTTTATTATATTAATCTGATAATAGATTATCGATGGCGTGTTCACAATAATTTGTCAATATTATTATTTCAGAATATTATTCGATTTTGGTTGAACAAAGGTGTCGCTGGATTTAGAGTTGATGCTGTAAATCATTTATTCGAAGTGGATAAAGATCGATTTGATGGTAAATATCCGGATGAACCTTTGTCAGGCAGACTCGATGTCGATCAGGATTCCTATGACTATTATTCTCATATTTACACAAAAGACCAAAATGAAACATATTACATGGTGTACGAATGGCGTGATGTACTTCAAGAAATATCTGCACAAGATGGTTTAGAAAGAGTAATGATGACTGAAGTTTACGCCACAATACAAAATGTTGTAAAATATTTTGGCGAAGGAGAGAGGAAAGGGGCTCAGATGCCTTTCAATTTCAACTTGATAACGGATGCAGATTCCTCCTCGTCCGCTGCTGATATGAAACGTGCTATTGATAAGTTCTTGACATACAAGCCAGTAGATAAGATGGCCAACTGGGTGGTAAGAATTTTTCTAAATAAGTGTTTGGTGAAGTACGTTTTTTTTTATATTTATTGACAGTTATATCTTATCACTAACAGGCTGGAAACCATGATAATAGTCGCATGGCGTCTCGTTACGGTCCGTCTTTGGTTGATGGAATTAATATGATTGTATTATTGCTTCCTGGAGTTGCCGTTACTTATATGGTATGCATGTAAATGTAAATAAATTATCATGATTTGATCTGACGCAAATATTATATTCAATGGATAAAAGAAATTAATAATTTTGGTTAAAGGGAGAGGAAATTGGCATGGTAGATGGCGAGGTAAGCTGGGAGGATACGGTTGATCCCTCTGGATGTAATACAAATGACCCAATCAATTACTACAAAAGCTCCAGAGATCCGGAAAGGACTCCATTCCACTGGAATGCGGGGAAAAATGCCGGTATTCGCTTTAAATCTGTTATTACTGACATATATTTTAAATTAATATTTAATAATTAAGATTTTTCAATTGTTCTTTATATGTTGTCACATAATTTGTTCCTTTAAAAGTTTGGAACTGTTCTAAGTGCATACACTACTAAGATTTTCCATAAATAATACAGGATTCTCTACCGCTGAGAAAACTTGGCTGCCAGTTGCACAGGGTTACGAGACATTGAACGTCGAAGTTCAGAAAGCCGCAGAAAAATCTCATTTAAAAGTTTACCAGGCGCTTGCTGATCTGCGCCGAGATGATGTCTTCAGATTTGGACGTTATGATTCTTTGGCTCTAAACAAAGACGTTTTTGTTTTTACGAGGTATTAAAATTCTACCATTATATTATATATTTACTGAAAAACTTATATCAACTGAAAAATGAACCAATTTAGGTTTTATTGGGCCGAACGGCAAACCTCCCAAAATGTTAACACGTTACTAAAATTTTGTTTGTTCTCATGTAATTCAAACATAAACATATGTAATCAAAACATATTAAAATATATACGAGCAAATGTGCTAAAATATTGAAACAAACCTTTCAGATGGTATCAAGGCGAACATTATTTAGTGGTAGTGAACATGAGGGATAATGAGTATACTTTGGACTTGACGTATTTCGAAAATATTGATGGAGACGTAACCGTTATTCTAAGCAGCACACAGTCACCGAAAGAGGAGGGGTGAGTTTCCAAAAAGACCACTAACCATTGATCCCGTAAACTTAGCCAGAGAAAAGTAACATTGGATTAAACGATCTTTATGAGTTAAAAATATTAAAAAAAAGATTTAAAGAAATCTCAGAGAACATTATTGAAATTGATGTTGTTACCATAGGGACATAAAAATGAATTGTGATTAATTTTTATTTGCCGACCATTTCAATTAAATGTAAAGAAAAACTAAATTACATATTATTTTTTGACTCCAGAGACAGGTATCCTGCATTCGCTGTACCGGTCGTCGGCTTCGAAGGACTCGTTCTTAGGCACTTTTAAAGATACATTTATAATAACCGCAACATAATGGGATGGGATTTTAAAAATATGTGTGATCTAAATTTAAGTATTACAATTTGTGTGTAAATAAAGTTGTTTTCAATGCATTAGCTATTTTATTATTTAACCTTAATAGTAACGGATACAAGAAAATTACATTTCGGAAATGTACCACCTTATGTAGCTAATAATCTTGAAGAATTACATTGAAGTTAAGCGTTTAAGTGGAATTTGTTAAAGAGAAACCATAGACCTTAGGAGCTTTTAATGAATTAGTTTTTATCTATACTCCCATTTAATGTTGAGAGGCGATGACAAAATGTTCTTAAGTCCCTTTAGTATTAATTGTAAAGAACTGCAAAACATTTCGAATAGCACTTTAAGAAACTAGATAAGAATACAATAAATGGATGATAGTATATTTTATGTGTTCGACGACTTGTTAATATAATAAATATGAATTTTTGGATAGATGGATAAATGGATGTTTGTTAAAATATATGTCCATAACGACTTTATGGACCTCGCGAATGATATAGAATTTAGAACATAGTATTTAAGCATAGAAGTATATGTACTTCTATCATATTTACAATTATTTGGAATATTATAGGTCAATGCAAAATCTAAAAGTAGCATATTATTGTATT